AAATTGCTCTGATATTCGCTTGAACAATTCTTGAATGGCGGTATTGTTGCCAATAAATGTAGCAGACATTTTCAGACCACGCGGCGGAATGTCGCAGACGCCGGTTTTCACGTTGTTCGGGATCCATTCGACAAAGTATGAGCTATTCTTGTTCTGGACGTTGTTCATTTGCTCCTCCACTTCCTTCATTGAAACCTTTCCACGGAATATGGCCGCCACCGTCAAATAACGCCCATGTCTGGGATCGCAAGCGGCCATCATGTTTTTCGCGTCAAACATCTAAACGTTGCATCAAATTATTTTACTGCCATAACTGCACTAAAAATCCAACTAAATAGATCTATCGGCTGATGTTTCAGATTCAAGTAAAAAGAACTAAACTTCAACTATTATATATCGGGTCAAATTTCAACACCTTATTACGTAATTACAATGGAAATGGTACTGCAAAACTACTGTTATTAGTCACTGAAAAAAAGATTTGTGAAGCACACCGTCCAGTCTCCAGTATACGAGAATTTAATGTACTCGCTCTTCACGATACAGAGAATTCATTCAGGGCTCGGAACTATGATTTAACCGAAGAAAGCTTTTTAGCATGTTAACTTTTGCTATGTAATTCTAAAACGTTTTTTAGTAAGCAGATCTGTTCAGTATTAGACAAAACAGCATTCATACCTGCAGAGTAAGTTCAGGAACAGTCACCGCTCTGTAACCCATGTTCTGCCGAGAAGTGAGCGGAGCGAAGCCGGGCATAAAGAAATGTAACCTAGGAAACGGCACCATATTCACAGCAAGCTTGCGCAAGTCAGCATTCAGCTGACCAGGGAAACGCAGACATGTCGTAACTCCGGACATTGTCATTGATACTAAGCAATACATAAAATAATAACAGTGACATAAAATTCGAACGTTGTAAGTACCTAAATGGTTCAAGTCTCCATAGCTAGGACTGTTCAGCTTCAAAGTTCGGAAACAGATGTCGTACAATGCCTCGTTGTCTATACAGAATGTTTCGTCGGTGTTTTCGACTAGCTGATGAACAGAGAGGGTTGCATTATATGGCTCGACAACAGTATCAGAAACCTAAAACATTAAAATAGATATCTAAGAAAATCGGCAGCAACATTACCTTCGGACTAGGGACGACACTGAAAGTAGCAATAATCCTGTCGGGATACTCCTCCCGAATTTTGCTGATCAAAAGGGTACCCAATCCTGATCCAGTCCCACCACCAAGACTTTGAGTCATCTAAACATAAAGCATAAATTTTTGAAGAAAAATTAGACATATACTGCTTGCCTGGAATCCCTGGAGGCAGTCACAGTTCTCAGCTTCCTTTCGGACTACATCCATCACAGAGTCGATCAACTCTGCGCCTTCGGTATAATGACCTTTAGCCCAGTTATTACCAGCCCCACTTTGCCCTACATAAAATTCTTTGTACACAAGATAAAGAATAAATAAAAAACCAAGCAACAGGTACTCTTTCTGTAGCTTTGACAGACTGTTTTACCGTTTCGATACATAATAGATGATAGAAATTTCACTTGCAAGAATTTCTGGCATTATACATTAATTCAGGAAAGAGTCTTAAAGATACATTTAAGTGGTAACAAATGCGGCAACTAATGATGGGATCCATAATGAAAATCTGCAATTAAGACTACGGAGAAATCGAGGCAAGAAGCTTCAATCAGTGCTTCACCCAATGATATCTGGATATATTACGCTTTGGAATGAACACATGGAATACCTCTCCATTTTACACCGTTTAAGAGAACGTCTACTGTCAGAACGTGCGCTGAGAGATCCTGAAATCTAGCGGAACAAAAACTTAATTCCGCTTTAAACAATTATCTAAAAAAGCAAATTTTAATTGATTCATAATTCAGATCAGACGTTTGCATTCTATTCTAACAAATATAACATGAATAAATATCTTAACGAAAACGCTTACCAAAAACAAAATTGTCTGGCTTAAACAACGATCCGTAGGGACTGGCACGAAGAGTATCCATTGTACCCGGCTCCAAGTCGACCATTATCGAGCGGGGAACGTATTTTCCAGCTACAGCAAAATGTCATGCACACAGTAAAATTCTCGTCTATGCTACATACAGTAAAAGATATCAATATCACGGAAATTAGACTTAGCGCAAAATGAAATAAATACTTACGGAATATACAATTCTTCGTAAAAAAATTTATAAATATAAAATAGCTCAGTGCATCCTTTTGCCGTTATTAAACAACCGTTAGAATCTAAACGAATCAGTGACTTCCAGGATCTACACGCAATCAGTCGCATATTTTTGATATGGTACATAAATATAACATAATTTAAAATATATGCGACGCTACGTCAACTACTCTCACTTAAATAACCTGTCGAATACAATATTTTAAATAGCAAGTTGTTATCGCTTAAGCTGATGCATTCATTACAATTCTCAATACTGCGTTTTGAAACACGAGGACACAGACATGGTTGAATTAGACAGCTGAGTATACCATGATGTTCAAAAACCTTGCAAAGCAATCACTTACTTTAGATTTTTCATTTTCATAGCGCTGTGACGATTTCTCCAAAAATACAAGATAGATTTCAGATTTTTCAAAAACAGGAAGCATCGAGATAGGGCAATAAAAACGGAATGAAAGCTTATGAT